CATAGCAATTCTATCACTTAAAAGTGACAATAAAAATGTATATAATTCTAGCTTCCATTATTTAACACGGGTACTCCTTCAAGAATTTATATGTACCACTTCCATTTGCAAACATAAGGACAGTTTGGTCTTCATACATTACTTAATTTCACAAACAAGGCCATTTTCCTTTACACATTCAAGACCGTTAAGGGCTAAAAATTTTGTTAATTTGGTCCTCAAACATAACCTGCTCTGTAATCAATGGGTAAGCAAAACGTTTCAAAATTTAACATTAGTGGCGTGCATACTTCATATGTGATAACAACTTAATTTTGGCATATGGGTAGTTTAACATGGACCCCAAGATAATACTACCTCTAGTATGTTTTCAAAAAAAGGGCTTTTATTATGTTCCACACTGGGGAGACATGAGGGAGCTGTTGTTGTTGCCGTTGTGGGGCATTGTACGTAAGGAATATTGCATGACAGTCGTCAACACTTTCATCATGTTTTGCTACTTTATTAATGTCATTTATAACAAATTTTTAAAAATATAAAATTTATGACCTTATGAATGATGATAATTTGATTATCAATTTTTTAATGCATTTATAAAATTTGGAATAGTATAATTTATAGTAAATTTTATATGTTACATTATTAATTATTTTGGGCGCTGATAATATGATCAAATCTAATTTTTTTTAGTTGCAATAATTTGATTATATTTTACATGTTACTTATTTACCTTGATTTTTTTTCAATTGCTGAAACCGTCAAAAAATTATTGTAAATGACATTAATGAAATAACAAAACTCGGTAAAAGCATTGTTAATGCTATTACTAGTTTTGATTGAAGTTATGGTTGAGATAGTAAGTAAGGGTTAGAAATGTTTTTCTCATCAAATTTGAAAAATTATATCTATTTCATATGAAAGCATATTTTTATTGAAGTAGATATCGTTAAAAAGCTAATTGAATGACCCCCCCCCCCAAACTGAATATGTGGGTGTGAACGTGGATGGATCTCGAAATAATCAGGGAAACGCCTCATGTGGTGGTGTTGTTAGAGATGAGAAGGGAAATTGGTTAGGAGGATTCCAGCGCAGAATTGGAAATACCTCATCAACAGTGGCTGAACTTCAGGCCATTAGAACGGGTCTAGAGTTCTGTAAGAAGTTAAATCTCGTCAAAGTGAAACTTTATACAGACTCAACTGAAGCCTTTCACCTGCTGCTGGCTGACTGTGGAATAAACCATCCGCTAAGTGATGAGATACAGGAGATAAGGTCGTTGATTTACTCTAATGGGGATCTGGAAATCATCCAATGCTATTGGGAGTGCATAAAATGTGCCGACACTCTTGCTCGATTAGCCCATAATATGGGGCAGGATTATCAGGAACTCATGACGACTCCCACATCCTGCTGGAACCAATTTCTGGAAGATTGTGGCGATAGGCCAAGGGTCCCCCCCTATTTGTTGAGTTGTCTCATTCTATAACCTTTCAAGCTTAGCTTGCCGCTTTGTATTGGGAAGGAAACAAAAAAAAAAAAAAGCTAATTGAATGAACATTGATACCTGTTGGTCAATCCGTGCGCATTAACATATGACAAAAACAAAGACTTAATACTATATTGGTTGTTCAGGTAACTTCACGTGATTTGATCGATTACGTACCTAGAATCTATTTTGCCTTGTACGCTGGAAAATCAACCTTAGCTGAAAATTGGGTTTCAGGAAAATGTTACAATCAAAGGTGCCATCCATGATCAACATTTTATTTCTTTGTTACAAAATTTTTAGCGTACCAAACCCAAATGGTCACGGCCGAGAAAAATGGTAAAAGTAAAATGGTTCGCATAACGTGCTTAGCGCATCAATGAGCACTTAAAACTCATCCATCAAAACGACATTGTTTGAATTTAAGTGACCCAATACCAATCTGAGCGATTTTTCCTTCTTTTCCCTCTTCTCCTTCTCTGTTTCCATCAAAACGACATTGTTTGAATTTAAGTGACCCAATACCAATCTGAGCAATTTGTCCTTCTTTTCCCTCTTCTCCTTCTCTGTTTGCCTCTCCTTTGCATCTTCGCTCTGCTAGTTCAGGCTCGACGAGGTTGAATTCAGTTCCTGGCAATAGCATTTTGGATTCTTGTCAGTCCATGACTTTTCGGATTCTTGGTTTTCGCTTCTTGTTATTGCTCCGTTTTTTGTGGCTTTCTTAAAACACAGAATGAAGTGATGATTAGAGAAATGTCGTCTATATCCAAAAGAACAAAGCAGTCCCCCGCCCAAAAAAAAGGCTCTCCTTTATTTACTAGTTGAGCGACGGTTTTTGAGCTCTAACAGTAAATGAGCATTATGCCGGGTAATGTGGCTATCATTTCATTACAACGCCCTTTAGCTAGACATGATAATGGAAAAAGTATTGAGATGATAATAAATGGACCATAAGCTTAGCTCAGTCAGTACAATCAGGAATAATCATTCATTTACTCCGACACTGGCGTGGATTCAACTTAAGTGTCCATTAATCAAGAGGTTGAAAACACTGCAAGAAAGAGAACAAATGAACCATTTTTTCAGAAGAAAAAGAAAATTCATCAATGTTCTGGGGAACCTCCACCACAATGCCTGTAGCAGTAGGACGTATGGCAACCAGTTCCCCACCAGGTGATGCTCTTGAGGTTGCCCCACCAGCTGATGCTCTTGTTCTAAGAGCATCAAGTGCTGCAGATAAAACATAATTTTATGCCTTTACCACCATTGCCTCTTGGAACGGAAGATGAAGAGGTCCGAAGATGGTTCATTTAAGGGTCCGTTTGGATGAGCGATTGGAAAAGCAACTTATAGGAAAAGTAGCTTATGGAAAAGTGAAGTTGGTAAAAGCTAAATTGGATAAGCTGAATTGTGTTTGGATTGAAGTTCAGAAAAGCTAATTTGCAGAAGTGAGATTGGTAAAAAGTTGTTTGGATTATAGTTGAGTAAAAGTAAGTTTGGTTATAAAATGACTAAAATGGGTATAAGTGTTAATAAATAATGAAATATGATAAAAAAAAATAATTTGACATAATACAATGAAATTAAAATAATTTATTATGAAGAAGTCAAATTAATGAGTGAATTAAATTTTAAAATTTCAAAAAAATCATAACAAATATTTTAAATATAATGTGAAACATGAAAAAAATGAATTGATATAATACAGTGAATTATTGTTAATTTAATATGAAGAAGTGAAATTAATCGAGGGAATTAAATTTGAAAACATAAGAGAAATGGAAAAAAAATTGCAAATATAAAATGAAACATAATTTGAATGGGTAAACATGTTTTTAACTCCAATTTGTAGTATTGCAACAAAGTGAAACTAAATAATATTACATAATTAATCAATAGATAAGCTATGGATAATTTGGTCTCTGATTGCATCACAGATGCGATTCATATGCGATGAAGACTGTGATGTAACATTTGAAGATGATGGTTGACTAGCTTCAGCCTGATCATGTTCGCCCACATTATTACCATTTTCAGCTTGTTCAAAAAACAAGTCGGAGCTCGAATGTCTCCTTATAAGGTTATGAATGGCCATTGTTGCACAAACCAGATACACTTGTGTTTGGAAGTCGTAACTGCACATATTTCGTAGGACTTGAAATCTATTCTTCCAAACACCGAATGTTCTTTCTATTGTGCACCTTAAACTGGAATGATAATAATTGAAGGCTTCGTTACTATTTCGGAATCCTACTTGTCGTCGGAAGTCTGGAAGGTGGTAGCGCTTAGATCTGTATGGACCTAGATATCCATTTGGTGTTAGATATCCCGCATCAACCAAGTAATATTTCCCTAATGATTCATGAAACAATTTGAGAGATTGTGAAATGAATAAAAGTATAAAATAATTAAAAAAACATGCATGATTGGAACACATAAACATATACCTGGAGGTGGATGAGGGAAATTAAGAGATGAATTTGTAATAGCACTATCAAATATACGAGCATCATGTGCAGATCCCTCCCATCCTGCCAAGACAAAAGTGAAACACATATCCCAATCACATACAACCATGACATTTTGTGATGGATTTCCCTTTCTGCCAATAAATTTGTCTCGTTTTGCAGCAGGGACAATACACTGTATATGAGTGCCATCAATTGCTCTGATTGCGTCCATAAAAAATGGGTAGTAACGTGGATCGTTCTCAATTTTTCTCTGAGTTCCACGAAATGTTGGATCTATGGTCGAATAAGTTCACTCGATAGGCTAAGACAAGCTTACAGTACATTATGAAAGTGCCTACTTACAGTTTCCCCTGAACATTGAAATCATTCCTGGATCATCCTATTGCATTGTCCATATGCAACCGTGTTTAAAAACATCGCAACCATTTCTTCAATTCCTACGTACTTAGACTTTTGTAAACCATGTTCCTCCAATTTAGTACATAAGAGATGGAAAACATCTTTATCCATTCTAAACATTTCATGACATCGATCATCATGCCCATTCATAATGCCTTGTACCCATAAATTTCCTGTCTGCTCACTAGTTCTGCACGGTTGTTTAAACATGTACATTTCACAATAATGACCAACCAATGCACCTACTGCTTCATATTGTGTTAATTCCTCATTAATTATGGTTGAATGGTCATCTTCATTTGACCATGAATCGTTATTCCAATTCCATAAAGTATCTTCATTCCATGGTGAATCATCGTTCCAATTAGCCATTTCTGGAATTAACCCTGTAACTATGGTGAAAACAAAATGTAAGCATTATAAGGATTACACTAAACAAAGTGTAAATAATTTTCATACTGTAAACAGAAAAACCAAATGCATAGATGACAAGTAGAAATTAGTGTAAATATATTACATAATGATTAATAAAGTTCCTACAACATGTCACATTAGTTTAGGTTAAAACAGCAGGTAGTTCAGGTTAACAAGTGCAATAACAATAGTGAAACAACTAAGTCCTAAACTAAATCCTATTCTGCAGGTCACTTCCATGTGTCTGGGTCTTGTGCTGCCAGTATCAACCACGCCAACAACTTGCTCCTATCATGCATAAACCCCAAATAGGCTCGCCTAGCCCACCTCAACCGCGTAAGCATCTTAGCACATGCATAATATAGTTGATTGTCATCATTAAGCTCCTCAACGGTAGTCAGGTGTGCCAAAACCTTATCAACTACTTGGGGATCTTCAACCAATGCTGCTGCTTGCTTGTCAGAAGCAGCTGCTATGACACTCAGGCTATTAGAAATTAATGTAGATGCAGCAACTTTCTTCTTCTTCTTTTTTGATGTCTCACCCCTCTTTCTCTTTCCATAGCTTCCAGAGCCACTTGGTCCAGTACTTGCGGGGTTGTTTATGTTGCAAGCAGCGAAGTCATCTGTGAACCCTGCACTAGCTGTTGGGTCCACACCAAAGTTTTCATCCTCACTATCCCCTGACCCTTCTTGTTGGTCTAGCCCGACTCTATAAACATCCTCCTCCTCTTCTATGTCAGGCTATGGAGCAAACGCTGGCTGAGGCTGTGAGGCTGATAGTGCGTACGCATACTCTCCCGAAGCCACAACATCTCTAAATATTTTCATCAGATTTGATGCAAACATCAACCCCTGATGTCTAAATTTCTTGAAATTAGGGTCCACCTACATGAACATAATTAGGCATAATTAAGCGATGTTCCTTCCGATATTCAAAATTAAAACTCAACTAACACAAATAGTTACCAGTATTTTTCGTTGCCACCACTCATCAGAGGCCAACACCCTGTTTGTGGCTGCATCATAACCAATGCCATTCTCCCCAGACATCAGTTTTTCCCACAACTTCCAATCTTTTCTCAATACATCAAATCTGTTCTTCAATTGCCTCCTATCATACATTTTCCCGCTCCTTTCCCAAAAATTCTTTTCAATTTTCCCCCAACCAGGTCTTGTAAACGATGTTCCTTGTCTTTCTTTGTGTACTATTTGCTCAGCACAAACATCGATTAGAATTTTTGTCGTGTAATGATCCCATGTCGCTTTTCCCCTGTCATTATCCATTTCTCTACACCCTTTGATCGAGATAAGAGTAACTGAATCAACCAAAGCCCTAAATATGTAATAATAAAAGCCGTATTATATAACACATACGTTGTAACCAAACAAACATATATCACCAAGTAACACATTTTAATTGCATAAGCTGTTTAGTTTTTTTATTCAATATTTTTTAAAATTATAAATATATAATCACAATGTCAATGTCCACTATTTTCCGGTGGTAATTGATTGTGAACATTTTAAATTAAATTTTCAATATATCATATAAATTGAACCTAAACTGCATTACATTGATTAATTTTTATCCTAATTTAACTGTGTAAAAGTAAAATAAAAACCAAATTAAGAATGATGAACAAGATTATTTACAAAAATATGTTATCTTTATTATAATTGCCACTTGATTTGAACCTTTTTAGTCACCTTGGGTTAAATCAAAAATAAAACCAAATTATGCAGTAAAGCACAACTCGGGTCGAGTCTCTTGAGGAGCTTTTTATTAATTCCTTAGTTAACTAAGTGACAAAGAATTGAAAGGAGGGGTTGAAAAAGGATTTTTCAATTAATAAAACTAATTAAGAGAGTAAGAAATAAATCTAAACTACTTTTTTTTTGGTATTTTTTTAGAAAGAATGAAAAATGCAAATTTGAATCGTAAGAAATCAATAACAAGAATGCTCTTGAGGAATGAATCAATGACTATCCTAGCTTGTTTAATGATATGGGAGTAACTTAAATGGTTAAGACTGGTTTATATAAGTTATTCCTTTTAAATTAATACTCAACTAGAACATTAATTACTTGTTAAATTCACTTCAAGCATAATTTCTATACAACTAGCATAAAAATTACACTAACAATGAATTAACAAAGGCATAAACATAAATATATGTATAAACCAAGTACTCAAACTTATAAATACCAATCCAAATCTCAGCAATTCCAATCCAAACCAAGAATTACAACTAGCAATTCTTAGCTTTAAACCAAATATAACAAACTTCAAACCAGAAATCATCAACAAAATAGTCTAAACTAAGGACTAGAATTAAACTCCCCTTTGTAGCTCTCAAACTCAAGCCATTGAATTCAATCCCGAAGAGCACAACAAACTCAGCCTCTCATAGTCTTGAACCAAGCTACAACTCGTGCCAAAGATTTAGCAGCCATGGAGGACGGTTAAGTTGGTGGCAATGATGTGTGGGACGTGGTTGATGGAAGAATATGAAAATGAATTTTGGAAGATTGAAATTGAAGTGTTGCGGCGGTGGTGTCTGTGCGAACTTGAAGAATGAATTTTTGAAGGGTATTGGCCGTCCTCGTGTGCATGCGGCGTTATTGTATATATAGCCTCCTCCTATGGCAATTGATGATTAGGTTAATATAATAACCTAATGCAAATCTGTGGCTTCCATCACTTAATTCCTTTTTTTTCTTTTTAAATTCTTTTCTTTTTTTTTTCCCTTCAGCTTTCCTTTTATATTTATTTCCTTTTCTGAGACTTGTAAAAGATAAATTAAGATACTATCATAAAGCCCAAAATTAATTATTTAAACGAAGATAAAAATATGATAAGATTCCCTATTAAATTTCTAATTTTATGCCACTAGTATTTAATTCAAAATATCCACAATCAATAAAAATTATCTCATTTTAATTGATAAATATCCCAAAAAGATATCAAATAGTATATTAAAATTGGGATTTATCACTAATTTACCTAAATTTTTTAATATAATTAAATTAGTTAAATAAATATCATATTAGAGAGAAGTAAGAGAATATAACAGGAGAAAGAACAACATTAAATTTATTTTGATTGAGACTTCCCGAAATTAATTCCAAATGATTTTTAAGTAATTACCCACATAGTCCTTAATTTCTTTGTATAGTACAAATTAATGTCTTATTACTTTGCTCTATCAACGCCGTTAATTAGCTCTACGAAATGAACCATTCGGACACACATATATACACATATATACACCATGTTACCACCTCATTCTCTTCTACCCTACCCTCATAGAGATCGAATCCTATAACCATAAAAACGAAGAGACCGAAGCTAAGGACATGCAAAACAACAACCGTTGTAATTCTGAAAATTACAATTCCAGAGTTACATATCTCGCCATTAACAACATGGACATATACGCAACAATTTAAATCCCCAACACTGCACACCCAAGCTTTCGGTCATATACACACATTTATGCTCTTCATTTTCTCATTAAGCTAGAGCCGTTTCCTTGAACCATTAATCCCTGTTTCGTCATTCAAAAACAGAGGTAGAAAATCCACATGCAACCAAAAATTTCAAGCTACATTCCCTCCTTTAAAAAGTCAGAGCATCTAGCACCACTGTCCGAAACTTTTAACCAAGTTTTGACGGTCAATATCTCTAAACAATTAACCAACATCCAACAAAAGATTGTAGTAATCGAAAACCATAAAATTCGAAACATAAAGCCCCTGTTTCAGTGTCACAACAAGTCGGTCCTCAACATGCAGCAATCAGTAACAACATGTAAATTCAAGGACCATAGGAATTTCAAGGACGATAGCAAATTCAACCACAGAGATCAAACCGGAAAACCAAAACCACAAAATTAAATCGGCCAACCTGATCCAACCAACCGAAGCCTGCCAGAGGTGGATCGGACGATGTATTGCTCTGGGAAGAGAAGAACTCCACGCACGGCTCAAATGCAGAGGCAGACAACGGCGACATCGGTTGCAGACGGTGAGAGCAGCTCCGGCTTGTGATGAACGAGCAGCATCCACCGACGGACCTGGTCGAGGCGACCACAGACGGATCTAGTCGAGGCGACCACAAACGGAGCTCACGGTCACCAGCGACGGAGCTTCTTGGAGGCGACCACCGACGGACCTGGTCGAGGAGACCACAGACGGAGCTCACGGTTAAACACCAAATGACTTCTGATGAACGAGCAGCATCCCCAGGCTACACACACCTCACATCCAACAGCCGACCTCACCACAATGACGGGACGGAGCTCACGGTCACCAGCGACGGAGCTTCTCAGAGGCAACCACCGACGAACCTTCTTGTCGAGGCGAGCAAAGACAGAGCAAGCATGGGGGCTCGGGTTTAAAAAGAAAACGGACTCTCTCTCGCTCACGGGGAATAGGAGAAGGCAGATGAATTCAGAGAAAAGTAAAGGGAATAGATTCTTGTCAGAACGGTCCATAAGCTCCTTCCATATGATCAGAAGCTCCCCCTCTCCAGCTTATCCCAATCGCGCGTTAAAGGGGCTTAAAAATTCAAAAGCCCAATTGTTAAAAAGCTCTGCCAAACAGTCCATTTTTCCCATTGAGCTTATAATCACTTATAAGCCACGTTTGGGCCAGCAAATGCTGACCCAAACAGGTACTAAGTCTAATCGTGCGGGGTGAGGAACACGAGGACGAAGCAAAGAGAGAACAGGAGAGGGCAGAGGAGAGGGAAAAATATGCTCAAATTAAACGACGTCGTTTTCAAATATGAGCTTCAGTCACCCATGGATCCTCATGGGTACGGGTTTAGGGTTGTCTTGTCAGTATCCTTATTGGCAGTCTGGCAGGATAGACGTGTGAGATTGTGAGAGTAGTCATACACGCAAAAGGCAAGAAAAAGCAAGGCATCCCGCAGGCAAGAGGATTACTCAAAGCGATTTAATTATTTAATTTGATTGATTCGGGTCCGTTTGGTACCAAAAAATTGAAAAGAAAAAGAGAGAAAATAAAATTTAATAAATCTAATTAAAAAATAAAAAAGTGGAATTAAAATTTTTTAATTAATTATTATTTTATCTTAAATATTCTTTTTATAAAAATTTTAATTAATTTTCCTCTAGGCCAAGAAAAGATCTCGTGTTGCTCGACTTTGATTCTCATGAGTGCGTGCCAGCTACTTATACCCTCAGATCCATCTCTTTGTTTATTTTTCAATGCAACACCCTCACTTTATACATTAGGCATTTCTCAGTTTGGATCATTCCTCAATTTGCTACTTTAAATAAATCTATCTTTCGAATATTTCTGTTTTCCTATCAAATTCAGATGTATTTTTGTTATGGATGGACTTGAACGAGAAATATCAACGTCCTATTAGAAATATATCCTGTGAATCTTGCTCCTAAGTCAGTCAAAAACTGTTTTATAGTCCCTCCTGTCTTAAATATAAAAGCTAGTTGACTAATTTAAGCAGATTAAGAAATTAAGTTAAGTTAGTTATTTGTAATAAATAGATGTTGTTTTCCTAAAATATTCTATTAATTAAGTGTACTGTTTAGAACTACCATTATTAAAAAAATTACCTTAGAAAAAATGTATAAAAATGAGAGACAAAATAAATTGGGGTTTTATTTTAGGATCAAAATAAAAATCAAACAAAATTTTATATTAAAGACTGGATGCAGGATACGCACACCTCTCCCTCTCTCAAAGAGCATCCAACTTCATAGTTACCTTGGATTGTCAGGATGGGGTCTACGTCATGCACTCATGCTTCACACTTCACCTGATTCTGTTGCCACATGATTTTAACAGAAGGATCAACGCCCCTGTGAGAAATAAATTTGAGGAAAATTGGCAATCATAGCAATTCTATCACTTAACAGTGACAATAAAAATTTATATAATTCTAGCTTCCATTATTTAACACGGATACTTCCTCAAGAATTTATATCTACCCCTTCCATTTTTAAACGTAAGGACAGTTTGGTCTTCATACATTACTTAATTTCACAAACAGGGCCATCTCCCTTGATAATGATTTTACATATTCGAGATCTTCAAGGGCTAAAAATTTTGCTAATTTGGTCCTTAAGCATAACCTTCTCTGTAATCAATCGGTCAGCAAAACTTTTCAACTTTTAACATTAGTGGCGTCCATAGTTCATATGTGATAGCAACATAATTTTGGCATATGGGTAGTTTAATGTGGACCCCATGATAATACGAACATAAGTATATTATGCAACATTCGGCTTTGCAATAAACGCCGGACGCATGATTAAAAGTTAACCAGGGGTTAAATAGCATAGCAGACACATTAAGGGAGCATTGCATAATTACCGTTGCGAGTTGGGGAAAAAACATAATTTTTGCTTGCTGGTTAATTATAGGAAAATCCTCGGAGATAATAATTACCCAAATTATATTTGAGATTTAGTTAAAGTATAAATCGAAAAAAAAACCTCAAAAACGTATTTTTTAAATAATCATTGAATTTTGGCTAAATAAAATATAATTAGACAAATTTAAATATGGAAAATACCAGGAGGCCTCAAATAATTGGGCAAAAATAGAAAAAATCATTTTAAGATTAATGCGAATTTATACCAAGAAAGCAAGGGAGAATTTAGTTTAAAGAATATTTTAAGTGAATTTTATCCGAGAATAAGGCATTTTCTTGAAATTTGTGAGGGGAAAAAAATACTTAGAGATCAAATTTAAGTCTGAGAAAAATAGGGAAATTACTCCCTAATAAATGCGCGTTTTTTATGGCCTTACGTGGGTCAAACGGTAACGAAATATTCAAAAAGTATTTTCTCGAGATTAATATCAAATACAATGCTGGCGTCGTCTGCAGCGAGGAAAGAATGTAATTGAACCATACACAGCACTATGAGATGTAGAGGCAGTTCTGGCAAAAGCGTCAGTCTGATATTACAGCCCATATTATTTACTCTTCCTGGGACTTTGCAACTAGAGGGAAACATTCCTATGGATTTGTAATTTGAAAAAAAAAAAAAACTACATATATATATTTCGTTGCACAAAATATATTTATTTGATGTTTATAATACTAGAAATGGGAATTCAACCAATTTGGTTATGCTTAGCTTATCTTCTCCTATCATAACAAAGTACAATTGCCAACTTCATTTCCGAAACGATGTACAGACTAAATTACTTTCTATTTATATGCTAATTCTTTCCGATTTTACTGACCATGATGAATTAATCTTTGACAACGACTATTTAGCCTTTAAAATTTGTAGAAAATATCTCATATAGGTAGAGTTGTTATGTTTTTATCATTTGTTGTAAATTTTCATATGTATAGTTGCTATTTTTCTATTGATTGTTATAAATTCTTATATGATATTTGTTATTGTAAATGACCGTACGTATAGTTGTTATTTGTTTATTCTTTGTTGTAAATTTTTACATGTAGAGTTGTACATTTTTTATTCTTTGTTGTAATTTTTCTATTTTTTGTCATAAATTTTTATATGTGCATTTGCATTGTACCTATTCTAGGGACTAAAAGGTCCTTTTACTTGTTTCTTTAATTTCATTTTGGGTCAGAGATACTGAATTGAATTTTCAGATTTCCTTGGGACTGAAAATATATTAAGTCCACATTGAGGGACTTAACTAAAGTTTTCCCTTGGAAGAATTAATAAAGCTGGCAATGGCATAAGTATAGAATTAAATCATCAATTTTCTGTTTAGTTGGTTTTTAACTAGACCAAAAAAAAAAAGTTGTACCTGCTGAACTGGTTCATCCAAAGGTGTGTCTATCTCAAGCCAATTACTTCGTCTTTGCGTCACGAATGAAGAATTCAATAGCCCTTTGAACGATCAAAAATTCCACATGATCACTCCAGTGTTGATACTGTCTCAGGCCAGCTATAGTAATGACCTTGTGCTGGTGCAACTGTTGTAATAGATGAATCCAAAGAACCATGCAGGATTAAAGAAGCTCTCAAGCCAGACCAGTGGACACAAGCTATGGAAGAGGCCGAATATAATGCTGTGATTAAGAAAGAAAACATGGTTACCTGTACCTTACACAGAACAAGGCAATGTGGTTGATTGTAAAAAGGTGTTTAAGCTTAAAGGAGAAGCCAGATGGCTCTCAAAATAAAGCACAAAGCCAGACTAGGTGTGAAAGGTTTTCAGCAAAATCCAGGGGATGAATTTGATGAAAAATTTAGCCCAGTCTTGAAAACATGTTCACTGAGGTTTGTGCTTGCTATTGACATTAATAATGCCATCTAAAATGGAGTTCTATGAGAAAATGTTGATGTCCTTGCTTGTTGAGATCTTATACTCTATGAAAATTTAGCACATTGTATATTATCAAAGTTAATTTAGAACTTAACATGCAGTGTCTGAAATTCTCATCCATTCTTAAACATGATCTAAAGGCTCTGGGCTTGTGCTATTAATTTTAAATTCAATGCAATTAAGTGAAGAGCTGGCCAAGTTGTTTGAATATCAGCTAGTTCTGGATTAGAGTCTATAAAACCTTCGATGCCCCAAAAAAAAAAAAGTTGTATAAAACCTCCAAGTCCATGACCCACTTCTGTGTGCTTGTGGGCTAAGCTGATTAAGTGATTGGCATTTGTTCTTGACGCTAACATTCTGTATGCAGTTGTAAGTCATGTTGTATAGATTTCTCTATTTGAAAGTTTGAAGGTTGTTTGAATATCCTTTTTTAATTTTTACCTTTTCTTTTCTTTTATCAATAGACTTGCAAACCAACTTCTTTTTTCCATTTTCCAGCACAGCGTTCAATTTCTTCAACAAATTCTTCAAAATAGGAAATCAGATTTTCTAGAGTGACTCATTAATCATTATTGCAGAAGAATTTGAACTTTCATATTGTTTTGTTTTTCTTCTTCTGATTATCATGTTAACTCCTGGTTCGCTGTTTTTTTCCCCTCAAAAAAACTTTCTAGCATGTGGTTTTGTAGGTGATTTGCTAGATGGAGCATCATCATGATCTGTTTAGGTTTTGACACCTAGCATTCAAGTTTAACACTCCTCAGTTTTCTGAGCCGTCTCCCACTGTGCATGTTTATGGTGTGGCTGGATCAGATGGTGCAGAACATGGAGAAACAGCTCAGGACGAGCAGAAGTCTGTAGATCCATTGGATAGATTTCTCCCACCAAAACCCAAAGTTAAATGCTCTGAAGACCTACAAGTAAATTCCTTGAGAATAATTTTTCAATCATCAATAAATTACTCCCCATAAATTTTAGAGATGTGCTAATAGAAAATATAGCCTTTTTGCTTGTGTAGTTTGATGTATTTTTCCCTTTCTGCTTTTACCCACGCTAGAGCTCTGCTTTTAATTTGCTGGAGCTCTCTAAATTCTGAAGCTTCTTCTTCTTACCCATTAATTTTGTTATTTTCATATTCTAGTTATTGAATATGATTAAATCAATTTGGTGATGCTTTGGAGGAGGTGTAATGTAATATTACACTCTAATCTCTTATGACTTCATGTCTCGTTTAGTGATTCTGCATGCATGTAAACTAAGTGGGACAAGGTATTCATTTAAACAAATGCACCAACATGTGCAACTTGCTTGATATTTTTACCTTTGCTCACAAGAATTTAGTTAATAACAATAATCCTGTTTAGATGAATGATGATTGGAAAAATCCTCTGCCCTTTATGGGGCAAGATACATGCATTTTGCGTAAGATTATGAAGAACTTTGAGCTTCTTTATTTATTCTAAATAATGAGATGTGTTTGATACTATGACCATTTTTGTAATGTTGGACACTAAATCAGGATTTCAACTTAGGACTGGCATTCCAGATACTTGTGGCAGTGCAAAATGCACCATTGATTTTCTTTATAATGGTCTGTGCATAGACTTATTTTTGTTTTTTGTTTTTTGTTTTTTTTGATAATTCTTAATACATATGAGACGGCATATTTCTTTATGATAGACATTTTCGTATATAAACCAGTTAACATGATAGTAAGCGACATTTTCGTTGAAAATGATGTCCCTGAAGAAGTTAGTACAAAATTGAGTTTCCGACACAAATGAAGGTTTTCACTTGAACAGAGGGCTTTGTGTTGGATACAGGACAAACCGCTACTAACTTGTAGCATTTTAGTTGCGTAATGGTTGGCACCAAGTGGCATACCTGGATACGAGGAGTCCCATGTGGTTACAGAGGTGCTAGTGTTTTGTGAGAATTCTCTGTTCTTTTGGGAAGCTCCTCCCCCTGCCTGCTTCTTTTTTCTAACCAAATAATTTTTTTAGTAGAGTCTCCCTATTATATTAATAAAGGTTTCAAAATGAACACCGAAAGATAAAATAAGGGCATCAAGATTAATTTTGTTCACTAATATCGAGAGTCAATATGTGAGGAAATATGGTGAATGATTTCTGATTTTAGCATCAATTTAAATGCTAGGCATTTTATTCATTCTAGCTAACAATTCGACATTAACCTATCTTCATTTCTTACCATTAACTTTCAAAATTTGGACCGTAATGAATTGTTATGATTTAAATCTTATCTCTAAATTGATGTAAAAAATAAATTATCTCTTATCTAGCTTGCTCGTAGTTAATTACACAGTTTAAATTATATACATAAACTACACATTTTATTTCAATTATTGTTCTTATATACCTTTACATACAGATCACCAAAAAGGAATATGGTTTCATGCATCTATCTAGAACTCCAGGGTCAATCGTGACCAATCTTATTGGAACAAACCACACGGTTTTTGAATGAAAGCTTCACAATCATAGCCCACCAATTTCTGAGTCTTCCATCTATTAGAGTTATAATACACAATGAAACAAACCACACTTTAAGGGTACAATTTTGACCTGCAGGGCCAAGTCATTCTCCACCCAATTTATTGGTATGAATATTGTTTATGATAAAAACAAAGTCTTATTTATCAAATAACAGAGAATTCAACAAAAGCATCAATATGCACGAACATCTGTCCACATTCATCATTAAGTGTCAACATCATCACCAAAGGCACCTGCATTAATCGAGCAGGGAAAATTAAAAGACTATTGAGGTTATATATGTTTATATTCTATGTATATCCATGTTATCAATATCAGATATAAATCATTTTGTAATCAATGCATAAAAAATTACGTTTTTTTTGTGAATATGTTTTTAATGATAGTATTCTGTAGACATATATCACTTTTAGCGGGAAAATTGGGTTAAAATTGTTGGGGGAATCAAATAATCAAAATCATCTTTTTTTAAAAAAAAAAATGTCAGCTGTTTCTTTTCTCCTCAATCATAGTCAATCTCTTTAGAATAAGCAAAAGTTGTTCACCAAATCAACCAATACAATAGAGAGGGAATGTGCACAAACAAATGAAAATTGACATGTATAAAAAATTAAAACACACACCACATGCAAAGATGGATCCTCTGTTGCACCCCTTAATTAATATATGTAGCAGCTTTTGATTATTATTATAGTAATTACTATTGGAAAAAAATATTGAAATAAATTTTAACAAGCAACTCTAATTTTTAGTGAGAGGAAAGCACAGACAAATGTAGCAAAAAAGATGCAAATAGTTTAAGGAAAGAAAAATTGGCGTGTAGGGGCAAAAATAGATGCAAGTTTTTTTTAATGCTTCATTCCTTCATATATGAGCTTTTATTGATATCATAATAGCTACTAGATAAAATCATTGACAGTGCGATATAATAAGCAAGAACAATCATAAAACTCGCGAACCTGAAAATGATAACATGGATGATGGACTTATCCTTCTATCAATTAACGCTGTCCTGCAATACCAAGACATAATATTAGTTTGTCTAAAAAAAAAAGTAATTTTATCACCAAAAAGAATAAAAAAGAAATGTAATTGGCATAAAGTACGATATAGTGAGTTTTGTATTCGCGCTTGGTCATTAACTATACATGTTTGGAAACAACATTTGTTGGTGTGTATATATCATACCTTTGCTGAGCATAGCATTTGTATTGTTTTGTTAACGTCTCCTTCATCCTCCCATTCCATATCATGTCCTTCTATTTTCACTTTAGACAACTTTGGTGTTTTCAACACTCCTGGACCAAACTTCTTCATTTGATGACATCCAGTTATTTTTATCTCTTCTAATTTTGGGAATTCCAACGTGTGACTTTGTGAAGAAAACATCTTCAAGCTTACCATATCAACAAGTTCGATCCGATGCAATCGGTTGAATATGATTCCACCTTCTACGTCTTCATTGGTGTCATTCATTACAATTTCCTCCATCTTTTTGCAATCATTTATGACCAACCATTCAAGATTCACAAAGCTTTTGGCAATTGAACTTGTCACTAAATAAATGAGCTGATGACATTCAAATACGGATAGGTTTCTCAAATTTTCAAATGAAGCAGATGATGGTGTCAACTTGACCAAGTTACAACAATTATTGACACTGAGGTCTGTTAGACTTTGATGAATTGGTGGTAGTTGAGAATCATCCTTCCATATACTCTTGAGCTTATCCAAATTGAAAATGTATAATCCCTTAAATGGAGGAATTTTCCCCATAAAATCAATAATCTGGTCCTGTGAGGGGAATATCTCCTCAAATGAACTTTGCTCCACCTCAAGATAATCCAACTGGGGAAATTTTTCAAGGGATCTATAGGGAAAGAGTACTCCATCTTGGAAGCTTTCTACACAAAGACTTCTCACTTTAGGAAAGACATCACTTATCATTGTGATATTCTCCGCATTTAACACCATGTCTTGGGTTATGGAAGTTACCTATAAAATGAAAATTAATAATTAGTATGCTATTTAGTAAATTAAATCAAGATATTGTTTTCGAATAATATTTATATTCTTCATCATTTTCCTCAAAAATCACATCCATACATCAAAATTAGAAAAAAATTTAGATTAATTTTCTTGCACGCTTTTTGCCTCTAAATTAAATTTGGAAAAAAAAAAAACTATCATTGCCTTCGAATTCTCATTTTGCTCTAGGCTTTTGACAGTGAACATTACATATAAAACGATTATTGATAAAATTACTACTATAAGACGGTAGTGTAATAAATTAGGTCAAGATATTTTTTAAAATACTAATTTTGCGTTTTTATTGTATATAAAGTCTTTCTTAAACAATCGGTCAATTTTTTCTAATATTTATATGAAGGTTTGTTGTTGTTGATTTTCCCTCTAAAATCACATCCATATTTTAAAATAAGATAAAAAAGTCTCTGAATCATTTTATAGCTCCCTTTCTTTCTAGTAAAAAAGTACCAAACTTGCAACACTATTTGCAGGATACGACATTCATTTATCACCATTTGCTTGCAATTAGAGTCTTGTAACATGAAACGTTTATAATTTATGGGAGACGACAGAGCAACTTCAATATTTGTATTAAATAGTTACCTCATCCTAAATTTTGTAGATGATGAAGAATTATTTAAAAAGTAGAAAATAAGAATGTCATGTACCTCCTGAGTCATAAACCGATGTTGGATGGTGTTGTTAAGATCGGTCATCCAAATATCTCTATGATGATCAAATACATCTCTACGTACTCGAATGCTTTGAAGATGCGGGGCATAAATGGCTCCTGGACAGAACATTGTGAGTCGAGGACATTGTGATATAGTTACACATTCTAACAATGGAAACCTGAAAGTATAACTGTGGGCACTAAATCTCTTCAATCTTGGTACGTTGTCAAGTTCCAAAAGCTTCAGTTTGCTAAAAAAGATTTCCTTGTCCTCATCATCTTCTCCATCCTGCTTCATTACAATTTCTTCCATCTTATGGCAGTAACGTATCTCCAATGTTTCAAGATTCACCAAGCTTTTGGAAGTTGAATTTGTTATTAAATAGACGAGCCGATTACACTCGTACACCTTGAGCACCGTCAAATTGGCAAGGTAGAGTTCCCTGAACGGTGGAATTTGATCAACACTAATGCGTGCATTATGTGATGGGAATACCTCCTCAAAAAAACTATTCTTCACACGAAGTTCACTCAGTTTCGGAAATCTTCCAAGCAATGTGTACGGAAATGTTACCCCTTCACCAACAAATCCTTCTATGCGAAGAATTTCCAGGTGAGAAAAACAGTCCGCTGGAAATTGGTCATTCCTTATCATGCTGACATCATCCTCATCTAACACCAGCTCTCTTGTACAGACAAATCGCTGTAAAACGATTATAGGCAAAGATATATTATTCAAATATAACTACATAATTTAATATTTTGTACTGAGAAACGTTTATAAATAATAATTCCTATTTTTATATCGCGTAATTTCATATTGAATCAGTAGCGTAGCAATAATAATTTATTTTTTATTGAGTCCCGAAGTCAAATACGCTCACGAGCCAGAGGAAAGAAAACTATGAACAATTTTGTCGCCCGTTATCTTCCTAATCAAACAAGAGTCACACATTTTGAGTTCATTAATTTTTATTATTAATATTGGAAAAGAAATAACGATATCAACTACGACAAAGAAGAATAATAATACTAAAACACTCTGCTATATATTCCATTAATTGATTATGACGAATTTTTGTGGTGTTTAATTTGTAATTAAACTGATGCAACAAGATTATACTTACAAGTTTAGCAGAATCTTTGATTGAACCAAAATATGCGCAGGGAGATTTATATTAAATATCATAAAAATGGAACTTTTATAGATGAGTACTTTTGTAAAATATGGAAATAGAAAGAATTAAGCATGCTGGTGGACGCACCTGTTGGTGGATTGTTTTGTTAAGGTCGGTGGTGTCCCAAATTTCATGACGTTTTCCCTCATCGTCTGACAACTGAATGCTTTGAAGAGATGGTGTATCAATGAGTCCTGGAGAGAATATTTCCAATTTTGGACATCCTCTTATGATTAGAGTATCCAATAATGGAAACCTGAAAGTATAATCGTGGCCACAAAATCTCTTCAATCTTGGACATCTGTCAAATTGCAAGTACTGCAATTTGTTGAAAAAGATTTCCTTATCCTCATCATCCTCTCCTTCATGCTTCGAGATGATTTCCTCTATTTGACGGCAGCGACCAATTGAGAGATGTGTGAGATGGACCAAGCTTCGAGCAGTTGATGACGTCATCAAAGTGGTCAGCCCATAAGAATATCTCACTGTAAGATGCGTGAGATTTGGCAAGGATGGTGACAAGCTTATCATCTTGTTAAGATTCTGGAGAGTCAATTTTATTGGAAAGGGAACTTCGTCCCCTCCAACTGCCTCCTTAATGTCACCATCCAACTCTAACTCCTCTAATTTTGGAAAGCTCTTCAACAATGATTTGTACGATATAGTTGTGGCTTTCTTTACAGAGAGATGAAGCAGTTTTACTTTGGGGAAGGGGTACGCTGGAAACTGGCCACTCCCTATCATCTCAGCCCCTTTACCCTCCAATCTCAACTCCTCCAAATTACGAATATCCTGCACAATACATAAATAATAACTAACTGTACCAATTAATTAGTACGTCAAAAGCCATATGCGATTTTCATGAGGGTAACTGATCTTCAGATTAAAATTTGATGCATCCACAATTTTGACGTACGTATATTTCGTGCACTTCAGATATCAATAATGATAGATTCAAATGAACACAAATTTTTAGTCTAGAATTTCCATCTTTGCAAGGTTGTGACACGCAAACATTCTTTTTTTAAAAAAAAATAAATTAAAGCTTATAATGTCTAGAAAAAAAAAAAAGAAGGGGAAAAAAAGACAGAAACCCCGTCCCCTCCCTTGATTCAACAGCAAACCTTTTCACGTGCAGATGGAAGCTGAGGATTGGAGCCCCTCTTTTAAAAAGAATAGAACATTATTTATAAAATATGTTAATTAAAATAATTGTTATGAATTATTCTTTTTTAGTTTTTTAAAAGCAATCATCAAATCCTAAACTAATTTTTTATGAATCACAATTTGATGCATCCACAATTTTGACAAACGTATACTTCATGAATTTCAATTATTAATTATGATCAATTAAATAAACTTTTAGTTGGGAGTTTCAATATTTGATTATGACCCACAAACGCTATTCCTGCTTTTTAAAAGACAAAATATTAAATTTCAGCATATAGTGTCTCGAATTTGGGGGGGGGGGGGAGAGAAAAGGGGGGAAACACCTGTCCCCTTTCTTAATTGAACAACACACCTTTTTTGTGCGAGAAGATGGAAGCTAAGGATTGGGGTCATTCTTTTAAAAAGAGAGAACAGAGAATTATTTATAAAATCTATTAATTAAAATAATTGTGATGAATTATTGTTTTTATTTTTTAAAGACAATCATCCCTAAATTATATTATACCCTAATAAATATTTTAGTAATAATAGGAATAATTCACATATTTGAATGCACATAAATATCAAATTCAAATGCTTTTAGGTTGTAAAACAAAATAATTTGATGTTTCATTATTTATTTTAATGCTTCAAGTTATGTTTGCTTTTTCATTAGCTTATTTTAAAATAAATAACACATTAATAGCTAATTGAGAAACGTACCTTGTCATGGGACAGTAGAGGATATTTTGAGTCTAATGTGCGCTTTTCCTCATGAATTTCTAGTGAACTTGAGACTTCCTTTTCAAATATCTCTATTTCATCACAATATCTAATAGATAATCGCCGAAGTTGTGGCCATTCTAATGTGTGTTTCTGTGGATAGAAGTTCTTCAAATTTTGAAGGAAAGAAAGGTCAAGGGAAGTCAGCGTGGGAAACTCAAGTGTAGAAGCAACAGATTCTGAAACTTGATCTGTTGCAACAATTACATCTATACCACAATCGGATATATGAAGCCGTTCAAGATTACGAAGCATGCCTTTGACTATAGATGCAGGAAACATACTTGTGAGGCTTTCACAATCGTAAGCAGATACATTCGTTAGACTTGGGAAGGAGACATTTCCCTGGTAGTGATTGCTCCACACATTCTTCAATTTTGGCAATCCATCTAGCGTTAACTTCTTCAACGGCACAACCTTAAGTGATGATGACGTCTTCTCTTTATATTCATTCGAATCTTCAAAATCAAACACCATCTCCAACACGTGACAATCCCTGACTTCTAATGCTTCCAAATTGTTTAAAGACTTTAGCACATGAAGAGGCACCAATTTCACAAAGCCACAATTTTCCACAATCAATGTTTTCAAATTGCTAAATGAGGTGTGTGAAAGTTGGTCATCCCATATCAATGGAATCAAACTGATTGAATTGGACAATTCCAACCCCTCTAATTTTGGGAATAACACCTGTTGAAACAAAATATGATTAATTCGTAGGCTTACTTTTAATGAAAGATTGTTTAAATATCTAAATAAAAATCTTATCTACCACAATATTTTTCAAGCAGGTGCTGAAAGTTCAACTCGAAATTTCACGGTCACAAGATACAAAATCAAGTAATTAAAAAAGTGAAAGAACTGCAATGCTAGAGTAACTAGCCTAATACCAAGGTAAGTAATTCCAGTGAATGTAATTTTTGTAGATTTCATTTTTAAAAAAAATTAGATCAAAATAAGAAAAACAATCCGGCAAACACACGAGCAAAACAGATAGTTCTAGCAAGCCTGTCCAACAAGGTCGTTATTCAGAGCATCTAAAATGCTCATACATACTATTTCAGTAACAGAAACAATTCACATTTAAAATACCCAAAAATATCAAGTTGACGTGTTTTTAGGATGTAAAACAAATAATTTGAGGCTTCATTATTTATTTTAATGCTTGAAGTTAGCTTTTCTCTTCTATTAGCTGATTGCAAACTTCCATAATTGCCTAATAGAAAAGCAAGTAATTCAGGTCAAAATGATTTTTGCATATAATTTTGAAGTTTTGTAAGAAGATAAAATAATCTGAACATACCTGGTTGAGAAGTAACTTCGACATTTTATTAGATACGTTATTTTTTGCAGCTTCATGATGTGCCGAGTTCAAAACAATGTATCTAATAGTATCATTACTTTCAATCTGAAGATGCCTTAAATGTGGAAATGCTCTTCCATCATGACCACGAAGAACATTTTCAAGCCCATTAGATCCATATAAATACAAATCTTCAGCTCCCCTCATTAACTTTCGAACCCCAGTGTTCAAATGGATGCTACTCTCAAGCTCAATTTTCAATATCTTTGAACTTTCATAATTGCCTTGCCATTCCCAATGCTGTCCAATGAGTATTCTGTATCTCTTCAAATGCATATCTAAGAACAAGTTCTCCGGCAACATAGAGACGTTAGGAATATGAACATCTAGTGAAGAGATCGGCAAATCCTTTAACTCTTCAAGACTTGCATTTTCAATAGCTTCACTAGATCCTTCAACTTTCCATCGATTAAAGCTATTTCCCATGTACAAAACTTCCAATTTTTTCAAGCTAGATAGGAGCTTTGGGGGAATCACTTTGAGTTCAGAGCAGTGGGCCAAATTCAGCATCTGTAAAGAAGTCAGTTGTGCCAATTCAGCTGGTAGTCGTTGAATCTCAGAGTAGGCAAGACTCAGGACTTTTAAATTCTTCAAGCTTCTAACCTCAGCTATATCTTCCAGTAAGCAAGAGTGTAGACACAATGTTTTTAGTTTTTGTAAGAAACTAAGTGATGGTAGTGATGAAAA